GCTTTCGGAAAGGTGGAAAACATATATTTAATACTTGCGCCGGGTATTTAATGTTCGGCTCCGCCCGAACTTAGACTTTCTTACTTGTTATTTATTTTTTCGTCAAAAGTAATTGTTTTTATTTTTTTCGATCATAATTTAACCGTTATTTTCAGATCTAATTTTTTATATCATAAAAGATTTAAACCGGTAAAAAAATTGCAACCTCCATCGCAACGGCTAAAATAGTATCGAAAAAGATAAAAATCCAAAATAACGATTATTTTTGTTGGAAATCATAAAATAAAGATTAAATTTAACCGCAAAAACAAAAATCCAAATTTTATGATTAAATAATAACGATTTCGCAATGATCTAAAAATCGCAATCTTGATATTTAACGGTTATCTATTTTCGAACCCTTGGAAAAACGGTAACTTATTTTAACGGTTAAATTATATGTATTTCCTAATAGATATCATAACTTTTACGGTTCCTGTGTTATTGAGCTCCCACTTGCCCAAACACTATTTTAATTTACCCGCTTAGGGCTGCATTTTTAGGGTTAAAAGAAAACTAACCTCAAACTTTTACCCTAGTCGGGAAAAATTTGGAATTTCTTTAAAAAACTGAGTCTCCACTTTCCGTAACTCCATTTTAATTTACACTCTTAATGCATAAATGTGATTTTCACGGTTAAAATAAGCCTAACCTCAAATTTTTACCCTAACCGGGAGGAAAAAATTAAAAATTTTTCTTTACAAAATTAATTGCTGAATCCCTACTTGCCAAAATATAATTTTGATTTGTACTCTTAGTGCAAAAAAATAAATTTTCCGTATCAAAATAAACCTAAGCTACGGAAATACATAAATCTAACCTAACCTATACTTTTTTTTAGTTCGAAATAGCTATACTTCTCCTACATTATCGGCCCTATCTACTTTCCGAAATCAGTGTATGTAGATATGTATGTGTGTATACTGTGTATGTATGTATGCACGTATGTCTTTTAACTTCCTTGACTAAATGCATTTAACTAACTCGAATATCCGTCGCTTGTGATAAACTTCATTTCACAATACTATTTATTGAAATTTCTATATCATATGTAAGTAAGTATAAGTCCATATTAATTTCATACTAATTAAATTTGCACTACATTATGCAGTGCAATTAATATACTATCTATTTTTGTTGTTTTTATCTTACTTATACTTACATCGTTTTCGTCGAGATATTGAAATGCGTCCAATTTGTCCCAGCGTATCGTCCCTTGAAAGGGATAGAATATTGTGCCTTGCTCAATGTACGATGTTGTCCACACTGTGATTTCGGCTTCATGATTTGCCGTTATTGTTGTTGTGGCAAGTGACAACTCTTTTGGTATTAAAACACACGTTTCCATATTCTTATTCTTTTGTTTATTTATTTGCAGTAATCACAACAATTTTTTGTTTGTATTTTTTGGTATATTTTTTATTGAAAAAAAAACTTAAATTTTTTAACTTAAATTTATTTAACGTGCGCCATGCGTTAGCATTTATTTGTCCATGTGTGTTTGTCTAAATTTCAAATTCAGTCAAAATTATTTCAACAACGTTTTTGTTTATAAATAACAGTCTAAGCGCTGATTGTTTATTTCTTTGCAAATATTAATTTATCTATTTTTTTGCATTAATTTATTTATTTCTTCTAAATCGCATAAGTTACGCTGCCGTCGCCGTCTCTCAATCTGCATTGAACGAGTTTTCTAAGCGAACGCGATTTAAATTCAAAATCAAACAAACAACAACGTTAAGGAGGACCCTTTTTCCTTCAACACTAAACTAATACTGTCCGATCAGGATTGTCCGCACCAGCCATGACCTTCGGAATGAAATACATAGCAGCGAAAAACACACCTGATACAGGCCGGCCGCACTAAATGCAAGACCGAAAATTAAGAGCTACTCAGCTAAGCTCATTTAGCTCAATGCTCCAATACGTTACCAAAAACAAGATCAACATTACACAACGTTAATTTAATCGATTGATCGTACATACATACAAACGTTGAAGCATACATACATACATACACTTGTGGCTCATATAAACCCATGCATGGCTGTATGTATGTATGTACCATACGTCTGGGCATTCGCATGTAGGCACCAACCGTCATGTGGAGCGAGCAAAATACGTACGAACGTTGGTGTGCTTGAGTAGTAGCATGCCAGAGTACGTTCAGGTAGCTGCAGCAGCAGCAGAAGTGGCGGCGGCGGCGGCGGCGACTTGACTTTGTGCCAAGACAATTGTAAAGCGGCTTAAGAAAGCAGAGCCGCGCTCCGTGTATATTGCCGCATTGCTTGCCGTCACCTGTTGCCTTGTTTGGCTCGTTTGTTTCTTTTTGTTGTTGTTGTTGTTGTTGTTGTTGTTATTGGTTTTGTTCCATCGGTATTTGTTGCTGTTGTTTTTGTTGTTCGTCTTGAAGACGTTAAGTGTTTATCTGAGCAACTTTTTGAATGAAATAGGAAGCCCACACGTAGTATGTAGGTATTTTCGCTTATAGCCATTTACATACATACTAACATTAGCCCATTCCATTTTTCCTGCTCTCTTGAGTCATACACATCTCTATGGATTTGAGTCGAAAGCGGTAAGACGAGTCTAAGATGTGCTGGTGAATAGCAATCAAATGAAATGAAATGAAAAAAACTCTTCCAAGTGTGCGCTAGTTAGTGCGGTTTTGGCCATGAAAGCCAGGTTGCTGTTACGAATGCTCGTACTACATAAGTACACAACATCCCATTCATAATTTCCGTTTAAACGGCTCCACAGACTGGGAAGAGAACAACGACAACGAATAGTATCTAGTGTGCTGTCGAGAACTCAAAAACGCTAAGAAACTCGTAGAACAACGTACCAGAGATGAGAGCAAAGCAGTTTGTGCATGCACGGAGGCATCTATGTAAATACATCATTGTGAGTTAAGAATATTAAGAAATTGTATCTAGTCACCCATAAGTAAATATGTGTACGTTTCGTCTCTTTCTTAAACTCCGCCCTTATTCTTGAGGAAGTGTTGTAGTGTGGAGAAAATTTGGAGCGAAATTTTTATACAGCAAATATGTACATATTTATGAATATACATAAAATTCATTATAATGCAATTGGTACTATTTGTTTTTTGTTTTTGCTTGAGTCGTATTTCAAACTTAACGGTTATAAACATATGACACAACTATTCGCATTATATTTGTTTCTGCATTCATTTGCCTAGTCTTATCTTTTACACTTTTTTATAAAATAAGTAGCTTTTGTCGGCTACCACGCCCGCGTGATATAAGGTTTAACGTTATGCTGCCAAATGTTGCTTAACTTGTCAATTCAATTTATTGGGAATTACTTAAAATGTGGCAACCCTTTTAAGAAATATTTTCTAAATAAACCCTTTTAAAGCTGTATACTTTGATACCCATATCAAAATATTTAATTTAACTTGTTAACTAAATCGTTTTAAAATTTCTAAACAGGTGGCAACATTCTCCAAAAATATTTTAGAAATAAAGTTTACTTAAACCTCTTGCGTTCGATACCCATATTTAAATATTTCATTTAACTTGTTAATTAAATCGATTTTAAATTTCTAAACGGGTGGCAACATTCTCCAAATATATTTTAGAAATAAAGTTCCCTTAAATCTCTCTAGTTCGACACCCATATTTAAATATTTCATTTAACTTGTTAGTTAAATTGATTTTGAATTTATAACAGGTGGCAACCGTCTTAAAAAGTAGTTTAGAAATAGAGCTTTCTTTAACCGCTTTCATTCGATACCCATATTAAAATATTTAATTTAACTTGCTAATTAAATTATTTTGAATTTTTTTTTACTGCTGTCAACACTCCAAAAATTATTTAGAAACAAAGTTTATTATAACCTCTCTCGTTTGGCACAAATATTTCGTTTAACTTGTTTATTAAATTGATTTATTTGCAGTTGGCAACCGACTCCAAAAACACCTTAGAAATAGAGCTTACTTTTACCTCTCTAGTTTGATATCCATAATTAAAGCTTTTAAAGTTTAACTTTTCAATTAAATTCATTTTAACTTTCTTTAAAAATATTTTCGAAGTAAACCGTTTTTGAACCCCTTTTCTTTGGCATCGATATTTCAACTTTTGAAACGGTGTAAAAGAGCAACAAACATACTCATACACTCTATCACTGGCTGTAATCGCCTAAGCGATTTCAGCCGAGTTCAACAAAGCACGCCAGTCGTTTCTCTTCTTTGCCAACTGTCGCCAATTTGAAATGCCTAGTGGAGCGGAATCACCCCCAAACGTAATATGAGTATTATTAGGATTTTTTTTTGGGAAGGCCAGTTTCTTGGATCTCTGCCTTTCCTTCTCGTATGGAAGAAGTTCAATACCATATTTTGAAAAGCTCTCTAAAATACTTATCACTTACTTACTATGTATTCCGAATAGTTATGCACCGTGGTTATGCGACAACAATCGATTATCCCTAACGATTTCGGAATCTTTGCTTGCGTGCTCGACGAACTCGTCAGAATTCCTCAGAACAAAATTTTGTCAGAATACGCATCCCTAGTAAAGGCCTTCTTACTATGAAATCTCTTGAGTAGAATATAAATACTTATCAGGTTTATGTGTTTCAGAAGTCTTTTTTTGTCTTTTTTTTTGCTGAAGAGTTTTGTCATCATACGACATGGTGCCCCTTATCTTCCTTGATTTTTTTTGTGAGATCAAATTATCATCGAATCAGTGTTGCACTGTTGTTCTGCTGTGAAAAGCTTTTAAGTAATCATCGAATCAGTGTTACTAAGTGTTGAAATTTACCTGCTATGAAAAACTGTTAAGTAGTCTGGGTTCTAATAGATCAACTGGTATAAAAGATCCGAGACTAGCTTGTTTGTTAACTGTTATGATACTAATGCGAAGGCTGGCCAGTTCCCCCGTCTCGAAAATTTTTTGTGAAACTAGAATTCGAAGTGTCGCAGTGTCAATGCTAAAGCGAAAATGTGCGTGTGACCTCCGTGGCATGATATTAAGGCTTCGGCTTTTCCTTCTACGAACGCAGCTTCGACTCTACTCCGAGTGATTTTACAGGCATATTTCAAAGTCAACTAAAAAGCATTGAGACAGTTTTGCAGAGCAATACCAAAATTTTTCGTATGCTCAAGGATTCGAATCTACCATTGAGCCTGCAAATGACATTTAGTAGTACGTGGCCGTGTTAAAATTACTAGTTTGCTAATATGAAAAAAAAAAAAACATAGAAGACAAACTAGTTGTGCGCAAAGTAAAGTGTTCTGAGTTTTTTTCAATACGAAGATTTTTAATTCTTTTAAGAAAATCTCGAACTTAAAATATTGTAAACAAATAAAAATCGCTCTGGACATCATTAACTAACTCTGAAAAAAAAAAACGGTGGACTTAGGTTAGGTTATGTAGTGTTGGCTGGCCATTGGTCGATAACAATTGTTTTGTAGCTAAACTTTGCCAAGCAGCATACTTTTTTTTTAGCTACAATCTGTCTCATTTAGGTGCATTTATTTTATGATATTAGGTACAATCCGAAATTTCCATTTTTCATCCCTGCTGCACACTCACATATCGTATACATTCTTCTAAAGTGTATTAACTAGACATTGCCAGTGTTTCAGTAAACTCTTTCTGATCTCGTTTTAATCATATGGAGAAGTGAGTCTTTAGTGTGCCTTTTGCAAAAATATATGAGCTGAGAACAGTCCGAAAATAGATATAAATTTTCACAATTTATTCTCTTCTAAAACTACCGCACTTAATTTAATAACCGGCGCTTCTTCTACAAACCTTCAGCCTCCTTTTTTAAGGACAAATATCTACCCATGTACACCTAATGTTTGCAACTATGCAGCCTAGAGTACACCTCCACGCCCTATCTACACCTAAATATGAGACTTGCGCATCCATGTACCACTTCATAGTGCAACAACTAAACTACTTCCGCTTGAAAGTTTCCCTTGGGAGTATTAAAACCGCGACGTGAAGGGCGGGTAGGAAGGATTAATAGGCCATTCAGGCCTTAATTGTGCCCAGGGCTGCACACCGCTTTTGAATCGAGTTGGGGTTTCGTTTTGACTTCGAACAGAATCATTGCCAAAACCGGCCAAAAACCGGTCCGAGAAATTGTTTGGATCAAAATTAAAATCCACTTCAGGATCTCTCAAGTTTTGTATACACAACTTTACCTTTATAATAAAACTGCTCACTAACTGGTAGAAGTTTTTATTTCTAAGTGGTTCGAACTAGGGATGTTGCGAATGTGAAATTTTAGACATCCATGTATGCGAATGCGGATGCGGATGTTTAAAAGCTACCATCCGCGGATGCAGCTGCAAATGCGGATGTCAAGTATTTTTAAGAAATACTTTAGGTGAGTACATTAGGTGATTTAGGTAAATAATAAATGGAAAAGTTAGTAATTTTTGATAGTGTTTTTTTTATTTAGTACTTAAATTAAAAAATTGGAAGATTGTATTTAAGAAAGAGTAAATCAAACCTGCGCCACTAAATAGCTACTAGTTCGAGGCGACAAACTTGAAAACCTTGAAACTTGACAACCACTTGGAGAACCAATTCTTTTGGTTGTTTCAGAATTTGGAGAACCTGTTACGTCATCAACGTTTTTTTCGATTTCAGTTTTTCTAATTCATTTTTAATCCTCTCTTCTGTGACTGGTTTGAAAAATGTGTGCTTATAGCGAGGTCACAATTAAATTGTTATTTTCTAAGAATGAAAATTTCGAAGAAAATTCTGTTTTGAAAGTCGTGGTTGCCAGCAGAATTAGTTTAAAATCTTGTTGTTTTGATAAAAGGATACCACGTTTTTTTATAATTATTATTATTAATTATTGGAATCGCGGACGATAAAGGAAGATTTGCTTGATTCCCGGGTGACTTCTTGGA